TATACTTTTGGCCTTCACGACATTCCCTAGTAACAAGTTCAACAGGCTGATTGTGCATTGTGTGAAGAAATACTTCCTTCTGTTTGTTCTAACCCTCCTACCTATTAATTTAATTCAGTGACCCCTGGTTCATGTGTTATAGGAAGCGGTAAGTAATACTTCCCTGTTCACTGTCTCCACCCCGTCATGATTTTATAGACCTCCCTCATATCTGTCCCCCCCTTAGTCGTCTCTTTTCCAAGCTGACCAGCCCCAGTCTTTTTAATCTCTCCTCATACGGAAGCTGTTCCATCCCCTAATCACTTTTGTTGCCCTGCTCTGTACTTTTCCCATTTCTAATGTGTCTTTTTCGAGATGGGGCCACCAGAACTGCATGCAGTATTAACGGTGTGGGTGTGCCCTGGATTTCTATAGTAGCATTATGATATTTTCTGTCTTATCTATCCCTTTCCTAATAGTTTCTAACATGCTGGTTGCTTTTTTGACAGCCGCTGCACGTTGAGTGGATGTTTTCAGAGAACTATCCACGATGACCCCAAGATCTGTTTCTTGAATGGGAACAGCTAATTCAGATTGCATCATTTTGGATGCATAGTTGGGATTGTTTTCCGATGGGCATTGCTTTGCATTTATCAACGCTGAATTTCATCAGTCATTTTACTACCCAGTCACCCAATTTTGTGAGATCCCTTTGTAAATATTTGTAGTCAGCTTTGGACTATCTTGAGAAATTTTGTATCACCTGCAAATTTTGCCATCTTACTGCTTACCCCCTTTTCCAGATCTTCTATGAATATGTTGTACAGCATAGATCCCAATACAGATCCTTGGAGAACCTTGCTATTTACCTCTCTCCACTGTGAAAACTGAACATTTATTCTTATCCTTATCCTTTGTTTCCTATCTTTTAACCTGTCACTGATCCATGAGAGGACCTTCCTTCTTATAACGTCTGCTTAATTTGCTTAAAAGCCTTTGGTAGGGAACCTTGTCAAAGGCTTTCTGAAGGTCCAAGTATACTATATCTACTGGATCACCCTTAGCCACATGTTTGTTGACCGTCTCAAAGAATTCTAATAGATTGTGAGGCACGATTTCCCTTTACAGAAGCTGTACGGAAGTTGACTCTTCCCCAGCATAGTATGTTCTTCTATGCGTCTGGTAATTCTGTTCTTTACTATAGTATCAACCAGTTTTCCTGGTACTAAAGTTAGGCTTACTGGCCTGTAGTTGCCAGGATTACTACTGGAGCCTTTAAATATTGGTGTCACAATAGCTACCCTCCAGTCATCTGGTACAGAGGGTGACTTCAGCGATAAGCTACATACCCCCATTAATTATTCTGAAATTTCATATTTGAGTTGCTTCAGAACTCTTGGGTGAATCCCATCTGGTCCTGGTGACTTATTACTGTTTAATTTATCAATTTGTTCCAAAACCTCCTCTACTGGCACCTCAGTCTGGGACATTGATGACATCTTCATCATATGGACCCACGGGAAGGAGGCCCTTGAAGAAGTTCACCTGGATTTCAACAATTTCCACCCCACCATTAACCTCAAATAAGTAATGGTCACATAAACACCACCCTATACTGGAAACCTACTGACCGCTGTACTTACCTACATGCCTCCAGCTTCCATCCAGGACACATCACACAATCTATTGTCTACAGCCAAGCCAAGCCCTAAGATACAACTAAATTTGTTCCAGTTCTTCAGACAGAGATTAACACCTATGAGATCTTTATCAAGCATTCTTAAAACTACAATACCCACCTGGGAAAGTGAGGAAACAGAATGACAGAGCGAGACGGGTACCCAGAAGTCACCTACTACAGGACATGCCCAACAAGGAAAATAACAGAACACCACTGGCCATCACATACAGCCCCCAGCTAAAACCTCTCCAGCACGTCATCAACTATCTACAACCTACCCTAGAAAACGATCCCTCACTCTCACAGACCTTGGCAGGCAGGCCAGTCCTCACTTACAGAAAGCCCCTCAACCTGAAGGAAATACTCAGTAGGAAATACTCAATACTTCAGAGGACCCAACCATATCAACCACACCATCAGAGACTCATTCACCTGCACATCTACTAATGTGATATATGCCAGCAATCCCCCTCTGCCATGGACACTGGCCAAACCGGACAGTCTCTACGTAAAAGAATAAATGGACACAAATCGGACATCAGGAATGGTAACATACAAAAGCCAGTAGGAGAACACTTCAATCTTCCTGGACATTCTATAACAGATTTTAAAGTAGCCATACTTGAACAAAAAAACTTCAGAAACAGACTTCAAAGAGAAACTGCAGAACTAAAATTCATTTGCAAATCTAACATCATTAATTTGGGTTTGAATAGGGACTGGGAGTGGCTGGCTTACAAAAGCAACTTTCCCTCTCCTGGAATTGACACCTCCTCATCAATTAGTTGGGAGTGGACTACATCCACCCTGATTGAATTGGCCCTGTCAACACTGGTTCTCCATTTGTGAGGTAACTCCCTTCTCTTCATGTGTCCGTATAATAATGCCTGCATCTTTAAGTTTCACTCCATGCATCTGAAGAAGTGGGTTTTTTACCCATGAAAGCTTCTGCCAAATAAATCTGTTAGTCTTTAAGGTGCCACCGGACTCCTTGTTGCTTTTGTGGATACAGACTGACATGGCTACCCCCTGATACTTCTCAGCCTGGGACAGTTTCTCAGATTTGCCAACTAGAAAGAATGGCTCAAGTGTGGGAATTTCCCTCACACCATCTGCAGTGAAGACCAATGCAAATAATTCATTTAGCTTTTCTGCAATGACCTTATCTTCCTTGAGTGCTACTTTAGCACTTTAATCATCCAGTGGCCCCACTGATTAATTTGGCAGCTTCCTGCTTCTGAGGTACTTAAAAAAAATTTGCTTTAGTTTTTGTGTCTTTGGCTAGCTGTTCTTCAAATTATTTTTTTGGCCTGCCTCATTATATTTTTACACATGCCCTGCCAGAGTTTCTGTTCCTATCTCTTTTCCTCAGGAGGATCTGACTTTCCGTTTTTAAAAGGTGCCTTTTTGTCTCTAACGACGTCTTTCACTCTATTATTTAGTCACGGTGCCATTTTTTTGTTCCTCTTACTGTTTTTTTAATTTGTTTTATTTGGAGTGTACATTTAGTTTGAGCCTTTATTATGGTGTTTTTAAAAAGTTTCCATTCAGCTCGCAGGCATTCACTCTTGTGACTGTTCCTTTTAATTTCTGTTTAAATAGCTTCTTTATTTTTTGCGTAGTTTCCCTTTTTGAAGTTAAATGCTACTGTGGTGGGTTTCTTTGGTTTTTCCCTCTCTACAAGGATATTAAATTTAATTACATTATGGTCGCTATTACCGAGCAATTCAGCTCTATTCACCCCTTGGACCAATCCCTGTGCCTCATTTCGAATTAAATCAAGAATTGCCTCTTCCCTTGGGGGTTCCAGGACTAGCTGCTCCAAGAAGCCGTCATTAATGGTGTCTAGGAAATTTTCTCTCTCCATCCCATTTTCAGGTGACATGTACCCAGTCTATATGGGGATAGCTGAAATCCAACTAATTTCTGAATTACTATAATTATTATTATTTATTTACATTACGATACTGCCTAGGAGCCCTAAGTCCTGAACCAGACTCCATGGTGTGAGGCACTGTACAAACACAGAACAAACAGATGGTCCCTGACTCAACGATCTTACAATTCACGTGTATGACAGGAGACTAAAGATGGATACAGATAGATGGGGGGCAGGAGAGAGTACAAGGGAACAATGAGACAGGATTGGTCAGCACGACAGGCAGTGGTCTCAGCACACCAGGGGCCTAACCAATGTCATGTTTTTTGTTGGCCTCATGGTAAAGGAGAGTTTTGAGGACAGATTTGAAGGAGGAGAATCTCATAGACAGCAGCATAGTGAGATCCAAAGGTTGGAAGCTGAAGTTAGACAAACTCAGACTAGAAATAAGGTGCAGAATTTTAATAGGGAGGGTAATTAACCATTGGAACAACTTAGCTAGGGTTGTGGTGGATTCTCCCTCTCCTGAAGTTTTCAAGTGAAGTCTAGATATCTCTTTCTAAAACTTATGCTATACATCAACCAGAAGTTATGGGTCTGATGCAGATTCCCCAATGGATGAGATTCTCTGGCCTTTGTTGTGCAAGAAGTCAGACTAGATGATCTCAAATGGAATCTTCTGGCCTTAAAATCTATGAATTTAAGGCCTTGTCCACATTAAAGTTTTTCAGTGGCATAGTCCCATCAGGGCAATTAGAGTTGGTTGAACAATTTTCTGTTGGGAAATGCATTTTCACTGTAATCAAAACATTTTTTAGGAACAGGTCAATTTCAATGAAATTTTGGACAGAAAAAAGTCAGAATGAGTCATTTCAACTTTCTTGTTTAGTTTAAATAATTTTTTTCATTTGATAAATTTTTTTGACCTTTTAATTTCAACTATAATATAAAATTAATCAAAACAAGAAAGTTGAAACATTTTTACTTTATAATGATATATTTAATATTGTAATATAAAAGTCTAAACAAAATGAATTGATATTGAAATTAAACATTTCAGTGGTGGCACAATTTTTGTTCTATGGGAAATTGTGAAATTTTGACCTTTCGGGTTGATCTGGAACAAAACCTTCTTTGGAATATCCTGTGGAACGGAAATTCTGGTTTCAGACCAACTCTAGTTATATTAGTGGCTAAAACCTTAATGTAGACGAGGTCTGAGTGAAAGGAGCTGGAGAGACAGCGTATTGTGGCTGTGCTCCAACAGCCTGCATTTGCTTCTCATACAATACACAGTCTGACACACCTAGACCACCTCTCCTTGCGGGACCCTCCATAGCAGCTATTGCTCTCCAGCACTTTGCATTTGTGCAAACCCACATATAGATTGAAGGAGCAGGAGGGAGTTCTTAGGACTCTGGCAATCTACTAAAGAAACCCAAGGAAGTGTCCTTGCCTTACCATCTTCAAGTCACACCATAAGGTTCCCCTCTTCACTATCACATTCCCCAAAGAGCCAGAGCAGAAGACGATTCAGTGGAGTGGTCAAAACAGCCAAGATTCATCCTAGAGCAGGGTGAAGGATTGACTGTGCTTAGAGTGAGGTTCCAATTACAGCCAGCATAGGAGAACAAATCAACCCTCTTTTCCTCCCACCACCAAAACCAAAACTGTGGATACACAAAACCAAATGCTCCAAGACAAACCTTTCCTCTCGGTGTCCCGGTATGTTCTGTATGGCCCTTCAGTTTACATTGCGTCGTCCTTGGGGCAAGAGATGGTTTCTTCTGCATTTTGCATAGTGCCCAGCAGTGGGTCTGGCAAAAGAGGTTTGTGATACATGATGCCACCAGGAGACAAGGAAGTGAATGAGGTTACTTACTAATGCAAGGATGTTTCACTTTCTGCTTGAGTCATTTCTCCCACCTTCCATATCAAGTTTTGATTCTTGTCTTCATCTTCAGGGCTCTGCATGACTCAGCTCACGTGTACATCTTTGATCTGGTTTCCTCTTGCTCCCCATTACTGCTCTCTATGCTCCACCACGACTTTTCTCCTACATGCTTCACTAGTATCCTTTCCCCATTGACCTCTAACCTCCTTGCTCCAGGTTGCTTTCAACATCTGGAATGTCCTCCCTTATATACTAAACTGCTTCCTCTCTGAATCATTGCTTGAGGCACACAAGGCTTCCATGAGAGCTTTTATCAAAAACCCAAATGTAGAAGTAGCTCTAATAAAAATACAGAAACAAACTGCTTGAAGTTTGATCCTTCAGCCTAGGTAACACAGATGAGTGTTCAGTGTACTGATTTAACCAGTACACTGCTGAATTCCCTAGGTACTGGTGCCACTTACAAGTGACAGCTTAGTATGGAACCAGTTCCTCCCCATTCTGTCTCAGCAACTCTCAGATGCTGTGAATCCAACCTGATGAAAGTCCAGTATGGTCCATGCAGTACAGCCCCACTAAACTGCACCTTGTATAACCAAAACCGCCAAGGAATCAAACTGAAATATCCCCTGGGGTTCGGCTTCCCTGGACTCTTGTTCCCCAAGGCAAGGGCAGAGTGGAGGAAAACAAGGCTATCTGACAGCACATTGATCAGCTCCAGTGGGATACTGTCATTTGGTGAGGAGTCAAAAGTTCCACGCTAGCTAACATCTTGGGGCCCTTTGCAAAATCCAGAGGGCAGAAAGCATGTGGAACAGGTGCACAAGGAGTGGCCTAGCCAGCAGGTGTTTTGGGTGATACCCCTTTAGCAAGAGCACGAGGTGGGCTATTGGAACAAGAAGGTTCTGTGGCAGTTGGGATACGGGAAGTCTGAGGTGGCCAGTTGGAAGCAGACAGGCTGGAGAGTGGAGATTGCAAGAAGCAGATTGGGAGGGAAGAGACTGGGAGTTGCAGATAGAACTGGGTGATTTGGGGTTGGGATTGGCAGTTTGAACTGGACGGGGAGTGACAGTTGGGACTGGCAGTTGGATGAGGGGGTGACGGTTGGGACTGGCAGTCCAATCTGGATGGCAATTGGCAGTTGGGATGAGGGGGTGACAGTTGGGACTGGCAGATTGGGTGAGGGGGTGACAGTTGGGACTGGCAGTCTGATCGGACGGGGACTGACAGTTGGGACTGGCAGATGGGGTAAGGGGTGACAGTTTGACTGGCAGTCTGATCTGGATGGGGAGTGATAGTTGGGATTGGCAGTTGGGATGAGGGGGTGACAGTTGGGACTGGCAGATGGGGTGAGGGGTGACAGTTTGACTGGCAGTCTGATCTGGACGGGGAGTGACAGTTGGGACTGGCAGTTGGGATGAGGGGGTGACAGTTGGGACTGGCAGATGGGGTGAGGGGTGACAGTTGGGACTGGCAGTCCGATCTGGAAGGGGAGTGACAGTTGGGACTGGCAGATTGGGTGAGGGGGTGACAGTTGGGACTGGCAGTCTGATCGGACGGGGAGTGACAGTTGGGACTGGCAGATGGGGTGAGGGGTGACAGTTTGACTGGCAGTCTGATCTGGATGGGGAGTGATAGTTGGGATTGGCAGTTGGGATGAGGGGGTGACAGTTGGGACTGGCAGATGGGGTGAGGGGTGACAGTTGGGACTGGCAGTCCGATCTGGAAGGGGAGTGACAGTTGGGACTGGCAGATGGGGTGAGGGGTGACAGGGGACTGGCAGTCTGATCTGGACGGGGAGTGATAGTTGGGATTGGCAGTTGGGATGAGGGGGTGACAGTTGGGACTGGCAGATGGGGTGAGGGGTGACAGGGGACTGGCAGTCTGATCTGGACGGGGAGTGACAGTTGGGACTGGCAGTTGGGATGAGGGGGTGACAGTTGGGACTGGCAGATGGGATGCGGGGTGACAATTGGGACTGGCAGTCTGATCTGGACAGGGAGTGCCAGTTGGGATTGGCAGTTGGGATGGAGCAGGTTAGGAGCGGGAGTGGCAATGGACATGGCAGGTGGGATTGGGTGGGGAGTGACAGGTGCTGGGAATGGCCATTGGAATGGGGTGGCAGCAGCAATCGGGTGTAAGGGTTGTTGGGAATGTCAGTTGATATGGAGGGAGAAGTGACAGTTGGGAATGTCAGTTTGAATTGGGCATGCTAGGAGGGGTGACTGGAGTGGGGATTAAGAGTATGAAGGGGGTAGGCTAGGGTGGAGTGAAACAGTTTAAACTGGGCAGACTGGCATGGGGAGAGACCACTGGTTTGAACAGAGCAGGTTTGAGGGAGAGTGACGGTTGGGAAGGACTGGATTGGACAGGTTCCGCGGGGTGTCTGATGATTTTAAATTATGACCATGCAAGGCCTAGTACCAAATGAGGAACCAGCTGGTCATGACATTTTGGACAGTGGTGGAGGAATGAACGGAATTAGGCAGTTTGGGAGGGGCTGGTTTGACGTGGGGAGGGCAACAGAGGATGAGAAGCAGGTTGGATTTAGGCAGTGAGAGGATCAGAAAACGGCAGAGGAGGTCACTAAGAAGCAGGTAAAATGTGTGAGAATTATTCCCTCTTCCTCACTGAGTAAACTCACCTTTCTAAAAAGTGGTGATTAGTCCTGCTGTGAGGTAGTAATGCCGGTTCCTGTCTGTAGTATTCCACTTGTGGTGCAACTGCGCTTGAGGAGAGAATCCTTTGGCCAGCAGCGCCTTGTGTTCCCTGCCTCCACCCCTGCATGCCCTCACCTAGCCCAGGGCAGAAAGGCCAGAGCGAGGCCAACTGACCCTCAGTTCCTTCTTACTACCCGTGGCTGAAAGACACAGTGTCGAGCAGTGTTCCTGTCTCTTGCACTTACGATCTAGTTAAGGTTTTTGTATATAGCTGCCCTTAGTGTAGTTAGCTGGGTGTTAGCATCTAGGACAGGTTTTTTTATAAGTCTTAGCTGGGTGACTTTTCTACCTTGTTTCTATTTTGTTCACCGGGTATGGGGTATTCAGTCTTATGGCTGACCAGAAATCCCTTGGGTTTAAGCATTATTCATCATGTGAGGCTGCACTTCCTCTTAATGATGGATACTCATTCTCCAAGCAGTCCCTGAAAGTGACAGATGCTTGCTTAAAATGTTTCTGTAAGACAAGTCCATGAGTCCTGCTTCTGACCCAGGAAAACGAGACCAGATGAGTTCTACAAAGTCCTCTTCCAAAAGCGTTGCAGCAGGCACTATGTTTGCATCACCCTTTAGTGCTTTGAGACAATCCCCTGCTGCTGTGTCTGTAAAGCCTTTCTCCTTGTCTGACAAGGATAGGTCACAGCCCCCCTCCCTTGAGGAACACGGATGTGGGTCTCCATTCCAAGGATGGTCTAAGACAGCAAGGGAGAGATCCCTTCTCTCTACTTTGAAAGGATAGCTCAGGGGTGATCCATGTCGTACTGGCACTCCCTGTTAGTAAAACTCCAGTACCACCTAATGTTCACTCTGACTTTGGTATGGAGTGCCCAGTACCATCACATACTCTTGTGATAATCAGTCATGGAATTTTCTGCACCTGTGCCAACATTTCTGGTGCCATCATCCACTGTCTTGAACCTCTTACTACTGGTACCAAGATTTACCACAGTGGTGGATTTAACTGGCTTAGCTCTGCCTGATTCTCTCTTTTCTTCTTCTGTGAAAATAGCTGCACTGGTAGTGTCAGCTTCCATACCGACCTTCCTAGAACAATTGTGAAGGAAATAATTACATTCATGGAGGTAAACAGTAAAACGGATGTAATACAACATGGGTTTTCCAAAGGTAAATCATGCCAGACTAACCGGATTTCCTTCTTTGAGAAAATAACTGATTTGTTTACATAAGAGAAGCGCAGGAAATCTAATACACTTGGATATCAACAAAGCATTTGACATGGTTCCATGTGGGAAATTATGAGTTAAATTAGAGAAGAGAGGAATTAGTATAAGCACTGTAAGTTGGACAAGGACCTGGCTAAAAGGGAGAAGGCAACAGGTTCTGCTCAAAGGTGAACTATCTGACTGGAGGAAGGTTACTAGTGGAGTTCCTCAAGGATCAGTCTTGGGACCAATTTATTAAATATTTTTATGAATGACCTTGGCACAAACAGTAGAAGTGTGCTAATTAAATTTGCTGACGATAGAAGGCAGAGGGCATTGTCATTACACAGAAAGATTGGAATATTAGACAGGAAGATCTGGATGATCTTGAACACAGGAGTAACAGAAATGGGATGAAATTCAATCGCAGAAAGTGTAAAGTCAGGCACCTAGTTCTAAAAAGAAGAATTTCTGCTACAACATGGGAGCTCATCAGTTGGAAGCAACAGAGGAAAGAGACCTGGGTATGTGGGTTGATCACAGGACATAATATGAGCCGCCAGTGTGATGTAGCTGTGAAAAAGGCAAATGTGATCTTAGCATGTATTAGGCAACACATTTCCAGTAGAGAGAGAAGTATTAATGTCACTCTGTACGGGCACTGGTAAGACCTAATTTGGAATACTGTGTACATTTCTGGTACATGTTCAAGAAAGATTAATTCAAGATGGAACAGGTGCAGAGAAAGCTACTAGGATGTTCAGGGGAATGGAGGGCCTATCTTATGAAAGGAGACTGGAAGAGTTTGGTGTATTTAGCCTAGCAAAAAGGTGGCTGAGAGGGGAGATGATTGCTCTCTACATTGTGGGGAAAGCACCAGGGAGCTTGAAGAACTATTTAAGCTAAAGCAGGGGTTCTCAAACTGGGGGTTGGGACCCCTCAAGGGGTCACGAGTTGTCAGCCTCTACCCCAAACCCTGCTAAGCCTCCAGCATTTATAATGGTGTTAAATATATAAAAAAGTATTTTTAATTTATAAGGGTGTCGTACTCAGAGGCTAGCTATGTGAAAGGGGTCACCAGTACAAAAGTTTGAGAACCACTGAGCTGAAGGGTAATGTTGGCATGAGATCAAATCGGTACAAACTGGCCATGAACAAATTCAGGCTAGAAATCAGAAGATTTCCAACCATCAGAGGGGGGAGGTTCTAGAACCACCTTTTAAGAGGAGGTTCTAGTACTAAATTAGTTTTAAGACAGAAGTGGACAAATTTATGAGTGAAATTGTATGACAGGGTTGTTTGTGATGGTAGAGGGCAAGGCGCACCAGTCCTGGGGATCACTTGGTTTATGTCTTGTGTTCCTAAAAGATGACACTTCAAGGCTTCAGCCAGCCACCTGCAGGGGTCAGGAAGGGATTCCCCTCCATCCCACTGTATTGTTTGTTTGTTTGTATCTGCTTCCTCTGAAACAGCAGAGATGGCCAGAGCTGGGGCACTGGATAGGGAGGGCAGTTGCTCTGAGGTGGTGCTGAGCATTCTCTCTCTCAGATGCTTGGCTGGCTGGTTCTTGCTCACAGGCTCAGGATCTGACTGATGTGGAGTCAGGAAGGCATTTTCCCCAAGGTGAGATTGGCAGTGACTTTGGGGTTTTTTCACCTTCCTCTACAGAGTGGGGTGCTGGCGACTTGCCATGATTATCTGGATACCACTTAATTACTTCCCTGCCATTGCAGGTGTCTTGAGCACTGTGCACCTTGGTCCCTCCTCTTCTCTCTCTGTGGCAAATAACTGTTTCTCATAGCTGCAAGCTGTAATTTTTGGTCTATTTTCAGTTGTTGGGTTTAGGACATGGGTTTTGGGTTATGTGGGTGGCCTATGAGATGCAGGAGGTTCCTTCAGGTCCTAATCTCTATGACTCAGCACTGATCAGGGTTCCATAATTCCAGAGCCCTCAGATTCCCAGCAGATAATTTCCCGCACCCTCCAGGAGGAAGACGTTTCATACTCTTCCTCTGCCTCAGATCATAGTGCAGGGGACTCTCCTACATGCTATCCTAGATCACAACACTATGACCCTTATTTCTCAGATAGGGATTCCAGACATAGGAGTCATAGTAAGCATAAGGACTTCAGACAGGACCCCTTGGTTTGGAACCACACGCCCTGGCCACCTGCTAATTATCTGTATAGTTCCCACTCATGGCCATACTGGTTACCATGGAAAGTACAACATGCTAGGAAACCTGGCTCCCCTGTGCCTTCTAGAGTTAGTTTAGTACCACAGGAGTTTATTAGGCCCCACTTTAAATATCCCCACGCAACAACTTTGCACCTATTTCCACTAATACAAGATCTTCTCCCTCCCTGGGACCTAAACACTGTCCTCAAGGGGTTAATTGGTCCCTTAAGACATCTTTTCTAGTAGCAATCACTTCAGCCCGTAGGGTACAGGCCTTTATAGTGCAACCTCCATACACCGCTTTTCATAAGGATAAGGTCACACACTTGGACCACGTCATACATTTCTACCAAAAGTTGTTTGAAATTTTCATGTACATTCTACGCGGAGCAGTATATTCCCCTAAACTGCATTCCTCCACAGGGGAGGCTGCACTCCATGCTTTAGACATCTTTAGGGCCCTGACCTACGTGCATGAAACAAAGCCATTTAGTCCCCTCAAGGCTCTTCATTGCTTTTGGTGAAGAATCCAAAGATCAAGGGATTTCAACCCAAAGATTATCTCACTGGGACTCAGACTGCATTAAATTTTGCTACAGAATAGCTAGTCAGCGATTACTTGTCAGGTTAGGGCTCATTCCACCAGGGTGTAGGCAGCTTCCACACCTTCTTTCAGAAGTGTCCCTACAATTGACGCGTAGAAGGCAGTTGAATGGAACACCTCTCATAGTTTTACTAGATGTTATTTGGTAGTAGAGGCATCTCAGTCTGATGCCAGGTTTGGCAGGGCTGTGCTGCAGTCTATTTAGTTAGATTCCTAGCACCTGCCTCCTTTTGTCAGGTTACTGCTTTGGAGTTACCCGAAGTGAAAACACACGGAGGAGCACTCGAGGAAGGAGGAAATTACTTACCTGTACAGTACAGTAACTGGAGTTCTTCAGGACATGTTGTCTAACTGTATTCCACGCCCCACCCTCCTTCCCTGCTCCTGCGGCATGTAACGCTAGCTGGACTCTACACCAGCACAGGAACGGAGAGTGGGTCGACCTTGTTCCCCACTTTTGTCCTCAGCTGGGGGTGGGAAGGGGGGCATGCAGAGCACCAAGGGCTACTGCTGGCCAAAACACTCGGACCTCGCGCGCGTGGGGCAGGCCCCGCCTACGCTGCCGGCAGCGCTGAGCCCGCCGTCGCGGGGGTGTTTCCAGGGCTGGCCGTGGCGGCGTGGACAGCGCTGGTCGCTCCCCCCCGGCGGAGGTGGTTTCTTACAGCGCTGGGAGAGCGCCCACACCGCTAAGAACTCAGCTTCTGCACCGGAAAGTCCCTTCTCTTTCTGGGGCATTGAAGGAGCGGAGTCTGAGCAGGGGTAGCCCGCAGCCCGCCTCCCCCCGGCGGGGTGCATTCACGAAGGGTGGCGGGGCAGAGGGCTCCTCGCGCCCGACGTTCTCCTTTCGGAGCCGCTGGCCCTGGGGCGTGATGATGGGAGCTGCCGGGGGGCCTTGGCGCAGCGGCCCATCGCTGCTCGCCGCTCCGCCGGCCGGCGGACGTGAAGCCGTGTGGGCGCCTGTCACCGTGGCTCCTGGTCTGCTGGCCCAGTGCTGTGCTCCGCGGTGACCCTGCCCGCCCCTAGCTGTAGCTGGAGGCAGCTCCCCGCTGTCCTCGAGGGCGGCCCGCGCCAGCCTGCTGCTCGCCCGGCTGCGGGGCTCAGCGCTGCACGTGCCCAGCGGGGCGCGGGGCGCCCCAGGGCCTGGCAGGGGCCCAGCTCCGTCTCCATGGCAGCGCGGGCCGCGGGGGCGCGCGGGAGCACGTGGCCCCCCATCCCTCGGCCTCCGGGGCCCCCTTCCCCCCGCTCAGGCCGGGCGCGAGGGGGCGCGGCGCGAGGCGGCCGCCGGGACGCCGCGCTGCGTGGCGCGATGACGTCCCCAGCCGCGGCCGTGGGCGTGCCGGTGCGGGGCCCTCCCCCAGAAGATGGCGAGTCCGTGCGGGCGGCAGGAATGCTCCATTGAGAGGCGCGGCTTCCGCCACCAGCTCGACTCGTGGCGACACAAGCTCATTCACTGTGTAGGTGAGGGCTGGCGCGGGGAGGGGGAGCAGCCCGCCGCTCCCCCCGCCGCGGCGGCGCCCCTTCCCCTCCCCTCCCCCTCCCCCACCGCTAGGAGCCACCGCGCGCCCCTCCCCCCGCGGCCTCTCCCGCCCGCCCGGATTAGCTCCGTGCGCCGCCCGCCCCTCCTTCACGCGGGGCCGGTCCGGCCTGGGGCCTCCTCCCTGGGCCGCCGGCGCAGCCTGCGCCCGGGGGATCGGCCCTCCCGGGGGCGCGGCCTCTCTGCTCCTCAGCCCCCGCCGCCATCGGCGTGTGCGGGGGGGACCTTCACCCCGGGGTCCGCAGGCCCGCCCCGTGTCCAGGCCGGGACCTCCGAAGCCGCCGTTCCCCGGAGCCCTTTGTCGAGGAGGGGCCGGTGGGGCGAGGCCTGGGGCGCCGCTCAGCGCTGGAGCTAACGCCCCCACGGGGTTCCGGCCGCGGGCAGGCGAAGCCCTTTAGCTGCCGTTCCTCCCTCCCCGCGGGTCCTCCCGTTCAGCCCGAAACTCGCTCGCTCGCGCTCACGTGTTCCCTCGGGATTGATTAACCCCCCTCGAGACGAGCTGGAGCGGGGTCCTTACCTCGGCTACCCCGCTCCTCCCTCCGATCGGCGGGCGCACGGGACCGGGACACTTCCATTTGGGTTACGGTCCCCTGGGGTGTGAGGCTCCCGTGCCCCCCCTGCGGACCGCACCCAGTGTTTGGGGGGCAGCTGAAGGCTGAAATGTGTTTCTTTTGGCATGGAGAAAAAAACCCTCCTAATGTGTGTTGCTCTTGGAGCTTGTAAAACCTTGGTCTTGAACTTGATTGCCACCTTAGCCTGAATTGTAGTGAGTTCCTTCTAAGTTCGGTGGGGAAAAATCATGACTTGTTTGCAAGAAATGGAGGATCCATTGAATTAAAAATAGGAGGAACTTTCAGTTTTGCTGAATCTGAAGACTAGCTCTGTCCTAGAAGAAACAGCTCTTCTGTCATTTTTCAGTTCGTCTTCAGTCTGCTTTGATTCTGCTACCTTATTCATTCAGATCATATTGCTTCCCTTGCTTAATATAAAAGACTGGTCAGTGTCTGGTGTACGTGAAGCTCAGTGTTAGACACTTGCACAAGGGAGGTAGAGTGCAAATGACTTCAGAATTAACACTAGAGCCCTGCAACTGTGTGTCTGAAGCAGAATCCTTGTCTAGTTTGCCTGTCTATCCTTGCGTCATAATGCTAGTCCTGTTTCATGCTGGTTTTGATTAAATTCTTGACTTTTAAGTGCCAATTGTATCTTATGTAGTGATAGTGACTTTAGCATATTGTAAACTACATCTGTTATAACAAAACGTTTTAATTTTTATTCTGAATTTAGCCCCTTTATTCATCGTGACTTGAATTCAAAGTCAAAAGTACCAACAAAAACAAACCTTTCCCTCTGTCATTATGTAAAAGAAGGACACCTTGTGGAGAGAAGGAATGGAGTGAGTTTAAGGTTATTGTAAAGTCATTGGTTGGACCCAATACTCTGACTCTTCATAGTCCTCATTAAAGTTAAAGGGACTTATAATTTTGCCTGTAAACATTCTTATTACATAGTGCTTATGTAACAGTCACATTGGGACTGCGACAAGGAATGGATCACTTGATGATTCCCTGTTCTGTTCATTCCCTCTGGGCACCTGGCGTTGGCCACTGTCAGAAGACAGGACACTGGGCTATGGACCTTTAGTCTGGCCCAGTATGGCTGTTCTTATGTTCATATTTAATTATTTTCTAAAAAAATCAGTCTAGTAGTTCCTTTTCATTTTGTGGGTAACCTCCAGAGAAGGAAAAGTGCAGTCTTCGTTTTTCAGTTAGAGATGGTCTTTCATAATACAGATACTAACAGCAGAAAGTGCAAGAACCAAGAAGTTAAGTTTATATCCATCCAGGAAGCTCAGACAGATAGGGAAGCAAGCAGATTTCAGGGGGATATAAATTATGGATCTCCAGGTCATCCTTAAGAAATTCTGCAGCCTGGTCCCTGAACTGATATTTTTATTCTTGTTTAATATAATCTCCCAGATTTTCTAAAGACAGCCCATCCTTTTTATTCTTCCAACATGTCAATCTGTCCATAATATGTCCGTGATGGTTCTGTATATGTAATCTGTAGTGAAACTTTCAGATTCACTTTAGTTCCTACAGAATGGAGTTAAATGTATTTTATTGTGAGGTAGCTCAGCATCCTAGTTCAGGTTTCAGAGTAGCAGCCGTGTTAGTCTGTATTTGCAAAAAGAACAGGAGGACTTGTGGCACCTTAGAGACTAACAAATTTATTTGAGCATAAGCTTTTGTGAGCTACAGCCCACTTCATCGGATGCATTCATTCATCCTAGTTCAGTATCTGGGCTTTGAAACACCATTGTGGGTTACACTAAAAATCCTAACAAAGCTGTTCGGTATATACCTGCTCACCAACTCCAGGTGTGAGTGTATTTTATATAAATACATTTTTCAGGGTTTGAGAATATACCAGATCCTATTAACTATAGGCCAGTACAAATGATTAAATTGGGTAGGCACATGGAGGTTCAAGGTTAATTAGGAGTAGAGGCGAGTATGTCAGCAGCTAACTACTGGAATAGAGGGATTTTTAGATTTCTACCAGGATGATGTCTCTAGATCTGCTTAGGAGCTTTCTTTTGGATCAGTCTCTGGATAATAGATGCCTGGCATTTGATGACTACCTTGCTGAGGTTCTATGGCCTGTGTTATACTGGTCAGACTTTATCATCATAGTGGTCCCTTTTGGCCTCAGAATCTGACCCACCTCTTGTCTCCTTCAACTGTATGTATTTCGCCTTCTCCCTTTGCCTCAAACCTGCTTGGCTTCTGGGGGTCCACTATACTGTTCCTTTCTGGCTGCACTGTTTGAGGGAGAGGGGTGCTGTCCTCTCCTTAGCTTCAATTTTTTGGATGATCCTTGAATCGCTTCAGTGGTGCTCTCTGGTGCTTCTCAGCGCTTTCCTTAACAGCTGCATAGTGAAACTAAGAAATGTCTGGGCAATCCTATTGCTGCAGTTCCAAATCTTGTGGGTTTCAATGAGACTGATGAAAATTGTGCCTGTTTCATTCTGCGGCTGCTGCTTGGGAAAGCTATGAAAAGTCAGAGGTAATGGAGCTGTCTGCAGACTCAAAGACAACCTAGCACTGGGTCACATTTAGAATGTTCTTAGCAACCATAAGTGGTAGAAACTTTTTTAAAAATAAGCCCTTAAATTCTCCAGGGATTGGTAGTATAGGTTCCCTTCAGTCCCCTCTTGGTCCTCCCTCACCCCTTATGAATTGATAGATGTGGTTTGGTATTTTTTTATTTCTATTTTTTTGTAGTTCTGTGTCTGTTTACAAGAGAGGCTGTGGAGGAAATGGTTAATTACTAAGTTGACCCTTTTTTTGGAGCTAAAGTACAAAAAACATTTTGTAAAAAGTCCAAAGTATAACAGTGTGAAGTGGCTTTTATCTTGATGGCAGTATGCCAGAAATAGTTTGAACCTCAAATTGATCAGTTTTATGAGACCTCAGACCTGCCCTTTTCCTAACATGTACCTAGCGTAATTTCTGTCAGTTCATAGGAATAAAAATTGTAATTCCTTTATTTTTCCTTCTTACAAGTGTTGAAGGGCCTCACTACTATTCATGATATCCAACTGAAATTGCATTGTAGTTATAAAAACCCAACTTTAAATACATAAATACATTTTGGGGGTAACTTATCAACCATAAATGGGTTATGTACAGCCTGTGTTCAGAAGCTGATCTCTTAAATGATCGCAATCTTATTCTGCCTTGATAATTCCACAGTCTTAATATTTGTTATAGGAACTAAATACTTTATCAGAGGAAACATCTGCTTTGGGTGTTTCTGAAGCACCTATCACTTTGGTAGCTGAGTGAATCTTATGTGGACTAGAGTGTTCTGTTAGCAGCATCAGTCCAAAAAGGGAGTAGTTTGGTAAGTCCACAGAGCTTGATATCCAGAAAGCACTAAGAGGCTATCAATGCATTTGGCCCCCCTGTTGAGTACTACTAGGATGTAATTCAGTCAAGGCGTCAATCTATAAGAGTGCGGCTATACAAGGCTTGAAATAGATGGAAAATCCACTAATTCTGTTTAAGCAATGGTGTTACATTGGCAACCTGAAAGTAACACTTTCAATTTTAAGAATAATTGATCTGGAATTTATGATGGCGAGGTATCTTGGCTTGTGTATATGTTTCAGTGTTGAAAGCAAACTTAGTTGTTTGGATTCTAAGATGGTACGCTAAATTGAATTTACTCCCTTTTTTATTGCTGGGAAAGTGCTGCAACCTAAGTTCCTTCATAATTCCTATATATTAATATAATTGCATAACAGCAGACTTTTGGAAGTTTAGCTGCCTAAGATGTAAACATAGGCTTCATGAGGGGTGTATTACATGCCCCTCCTATTATATAGCAGAAAGCATTAAAAGCCAATAGTACTAATAAAGAGAAAATATACAATATCTGTATAGTTCTGAAACAATTCTTATGGCTTCTAGTCTTGACTGTCTTTGAGATATTTGGTTTATTTTGTCTCTGTGATATCACAACTGGTATGGATGAAATAATGAACTACTGCTTCAAAATATAGGACAGATGGAGGCATGTTAAGGTTTTTTTATGCAGTTTAGAAAGAGCAATTTGACTCTCACAGTGTTAGTGCAGTTCCAGGACAAGTGAAGTAAAATTGTAGCTTATTTTTTAGTGAAGAATTGCATTAGTTAGATCACGGGTAGTGATAGAAAATAATTC